TATAAAAAAATAATTTTTGCCCAAAGTATTTGGGCAATTTCGGCTACTAATAGAAGCAGTTTCGGCCAGAAACCTTATTTAGGAAGAGCCATTTAATTTTTTTCGACAATTGAATTAATTATTTGTTTTTTGTTATCATGTATATGCTACCAAGAATGCTTTTTTTGGTGGCGTCGAAGCATCTTTTTCTTTTTACGATTTAATTAGTGTGATGAAGATCATACTGTTGGTTTGTTTACTTTATAAGAAAAGCATCATTTTCTATTGTTAAAAAACTTCTTTTTTTTTTTTTTTTACTGTTATCATCATTTTTCTGATTTTTTTTTAGATCGTACCATAGATTTGTTTACTTTTTAAAGAAAAGCATTATTATTATGTGTTTAACTAATTAATTGACGATTATTTTTTTACTTTTTAAGAAAAGCATTATGCGCTAAAAATGCTAAAAAACAAAGTGCTGTGCATCTAATTAATTGACAATTTATTTTTATGTGAAACATCTAGTGTTTGTGTAATTTCCACTTTTTTTTTGCTCACTTTATTTTATTTTTCCATTATTTAAATAAAAATGAATCCAATATTTGAAAATTATTTTAATGAAAATGAAAGATTATTAAATACAGAAAATCTTTATGATGTAAAAATATATGTTGGCATAGAACCAAACATTAAAGAAGTTCATGCACATGCATCTATCATATCAGCTCACTGTCCATTTTTTAGCAGTGAATTAAGCAATGCAACAAAAGAAAATGGATATTATATTATTAAGAAAACTAATATCAGTGAAAAAAATTTCAAACCTATTCTCAAGTAAGCTTAAATAATTTTATTATTATTTTATTTATTATTTGTTTATGATTATAAAATACTGTATATAAATAATTTAATAATTTATAGATTTTTATACACATGTAAATTTGAATTTGAAAATTATTCTGGAGCTGAAGTATTGGAACTATTAACTGCAGTAGATGAACTTGGTATTGAGTCACTTTATGAATATATGATAAAATACTTTACTGAAAATTATGAAGATTATATAAAAGAAAATCCAGTTAAAATCCTACAATTAATTTATGCTAATAAAAATTTTGAGGAATTGAAAAATATCTATTTAGAAAAATTTTGTGATCATAGTGAAAAATTATTTCAGTCAAGTGAATTTGAATCATTTGAAAAACAAATTCTATTGGAAATTCTCAAAAGGGATGATTTTTCTGTTGATGAGATAGTTATTTGGGAAAATATTTTTAAATGGGGATTGGCAAAACATCCAGAAATCAATAATAATATTGAAGATTGGTCATTGCAAAACTTTGTTGATTTAAGTAACACATTAAAGGAATTTCTTACTCTAATAAGATTTCAGTATATTTCTAAAGATGATTTTTTTAATAAAATTATGCAATATCAAATGCTTTTTCCTATGGCTTTATGGAAAGATATTTCACATTATTATTTATTTCCAGATAGACAACAAACTTTAAATTTATTACCATCAAGAATTTTAATAATTCCAACACTCGAATCATTGACAATCAACCAAAACCTTACATTACTTTTTGCAAGTTGGATTGATAGAAAAAGTCCACCATACAGTTCGTTCAGGAAAGTTAAATATGAATTCAAACTTCTATATCAAAGTAGTAGAGATGGTTTAGATGCAACTAAATTCCATCAAAATTGTGATAATATCAACAACACTCTTGCAGTTGGCAAAATACAAAATTCAGAGCAAATAATTGGTGGTTATAATCCACTTAATTGGAATGGAACTTGGACATATAAAAATACAACTGAAAGTTTTATTTTTAATATAAGTAATAGAAATGATATCAATACTGCACAATTTAGTTATGTTGTTAATAATGAGTTTGTGTATGCAATTTGGTGTGATCCTTCTTGGTTACCTAGCTTTGGTTGTAACTGTGATCTTTGGTTTAAAACAGATAGCAGTGTTGGTAGTTCACCAAGGACCTACAGTGACTTCAATATAGTAAATGGAGATAAATTTGATGAATTGGAAGTTTTTCAAATAATTGATAAAAAATAAAAATAATAAATACAATATTAATTTCTTTTTGTATTTTTCATTATTATGCAAATATTCATACACGAGGCTTAATATTATACACTGTACCTCTAGACTAACCTGTTGCTATTTTGCACTAGATATCAAAAAGAATGTAATGGGCAATTCAATTCAAATTTAATTCGAATTTATAAATTATTTGATTTGATTTGGTTCAAATCTAATTCAAATATATACTATAAAATTGTATATAATTTTAATGAGTTGTCCAGAAAATATTTACCTAATGTAATAATTGCATTGCACTGTGCTTGTTGAAGAAGTTATTAAAGAGGCATCATTTTCAACAATGCAATTATTGTCATTCATCATCATTATATTTATTATTTAATTTAACAATGAATTGTAAATTATTCTACTTGTTATCGTTATTAATAATATTAATAATGCGATAAACCCTCGTTTTAACGAACTATGATTAAATTCATTAAATTTGCTTCACATATTAATATTAAATTAGTTGAAACACACGATTAGTAATTTTTGATGCGTTTAATAAATCTGTTAAAACGAGATTTGACTGTAATATATAAAAATTTGAATTCGTAACAGATAAACCTACATATTAATATGTAAACTCGATAAGTCGGTCATGTGGGGGTGAGCTCATATGACCGACTTATCGAGTAAACCGACTTATCGAATGACCGACTTATCGAGTTTACATATGTATTTGGATTGAAACCCTATTAATATGTCAAAAAACTAGGAATCCGGTTGGAATTGAATCGAATCCAGTTTTTTTGAATTCGACTTGATTTGTTTGAAGCTTTAATTTCATCTGATGTTTACATTTCCGTTTAAGTTCAATTTCAACTAATTCAAATAATAAAACAATTATTCAAAAAATCTGTTCAACATATAAGAAGTAATGTTAGTTGGGCATGCAAATATTTTGGAAAAAAAACAATGATAATAAGGTATTTACCCAAATTTTTCTATGCAAGCAAGAGTTTACTTGGAAATACCAGCAGGCATCAGAGCCATTTGAGAGATTATTTTAATCAGCTCGGCTGGGAATTTATTTACAAAAAAAAAAAAGAAATAGGCTTGTAAAAATAATGTTCATAATCTTTTTTCAAAGAAAATTCAAAACTTTGATCTTTATTTAGATTTTTGTTAAAATATTATTTTTAGCGAATTGAATTCATATCATTATATTATTATCTAATAAATCATTTGATAAAAATTTTATACAAGTTCTTGGCCGGCTAAGGTTTTTCTACCGGCCGACATCACTATGGATACTTTAAATTTATTATTATCAGTTTTGGTGGTCGTTGTGATTTTTATTTTAATACAGATGGTAGTATATATCATGAGTAATCCAAAAACATATGTAGAAAATTTAATCAAACTTTTTAAAAAATGTGCATTACCAAAATCTTCTCCTAATTCAAGACAATCCTGATAAAAGATCAAAACTTGAATCATGTATGTACATAGATTTTTTCCATACTAAATAGATAGAATTTTTTCTTTTGTTAATGATTTGCTTTCTGTTTCTCTTTATCACCGACTAATTATAATTTTTTTGCATTAATAATAATAGTTAACTCCAAAGATTAAGACACAATAGTCACGTTTCTACCATTGGAATCTGAATTCCCGAGTCCGTAACTGAACACTAATCATATTGAAAAAAAGTTAAAGAATCATTGTACACTGTATCATTATTAAAAAATAAAAATCGACTTGAGTTTCTTTTGGCTAAATTCGTTGAATAAAGAAGCTCAGAAATTAATTAAAGATTTCAAATTGTTTGACATTTATCCAACATTAATTATACTAAATTCAAACTAAAATATTTACACTCCTGATATGGAAAGTATATTAAATGGATTTCATTATGAAGTTAAATTTGATGGTGATGAGTTTTATTAATAAAAAAGATTTAAACAATAAATGATGACTGATAAAATTTCTAATTGTAATTATATATATATTGATATGTATATTATTTTTGTAACTTATCTAGACAACTTTCAAGGATTGCTTCAAAACCTTTATTTAAAAATATTGTAAACGCGTGCAAAAATGGTCATTCAACAATTCGTGTAACAATTAAAAATAAAATAACTTTTCTCTTCCAACTATATATAATTTTTTAAACAATGGCTACTTTTATTAGAAAATTTCGTTATCAAACAGTACTTTCAAGTTTACTTCAACAAAATAGACTCAAAGTTTTTTTCGGTGCATATAATAATAATAATAATAATGCGACAAAAGTAAGCATCCTAATATAGTAATAGAATAAATTAATAAATACACGAAAAAAAATTTAATTTATTTATATTTTCATGTCCTCGTAAATTTCAAAGGCTACAATTGTAACTTACCGTTTCTCAAGTTCTAGTAATATTAAATATAAACCATATGCAACAGAAGTTGATCGATCAGATAGTGAAGATATTCATCCTCGCTTTTCAGATACTGCTGATAATAATAACAAAACATCTATGAACACTAATAACGCTGATGGTACATCTTTTCCATCTTTATCAGAATTTTCATCAGATAATAATAAAGATGCAAAATCAAAATCGAAAGAATTAACAATCAAAGATCTTTCAAATGATATTACTGATGGTGGCCATGATTGGTCCAAATCATATTATGGCTTGTCAATTCAACCTTTTTCAAAAGAGGCTACTGATATCTTGTTAGCTCCAGTTGATCCAAATGATGTTGAATGTAAACCTGGTAAAAAATATGTTTAAAATTCATTAAAGAAATGAAACAAAAGTTCAAAATTTGATTTTTACGTCACAATGTTTGATATTATTTTTTTATTCCACAGATGGTATAATTTATTTGCCTGAAATTAAGTATCGTCGTATATTGAATAAAGCATTTGGACCAGGAGGTAAATCATCAAGTAATCTTAAACTAATTTTATTATTCTGTTTATTTTTTTTAAAAAAATTTTGAATCTAAAAATTTATAGGTTGGGGATTGGCACCAAGAGGTGATAATTCAGTTAGTCCTAGGATAGTCTCTCGTGAATATGCTTTAGTATGTCATGGAAGGTATAAAAATTTATATTTATTTATTTATTTATTATTTACCGTTTTTTTTTCCCATTAATAATAATAATAATGATGATGATGATGAAAAATCATTCAAATTGAAAGACTTGTTTCCATTGCTCGTGGTGAATGTGAATATTTTGATCCTTCAGATTTAAATACAGCAGCTGAAGGTGCTAAAAGCAATGCATTAATGAGATGTTGTAAAGATCTGGGAGTTGCTTCAGAATTATGGTTAGTATTTATTAATTGGTTGATATTTATTGGTTAATTGAAAATTGATTAATTAATTATTTATTTTATTTTTTGGGCGTGTGGAATTTATTGTTATTTAAAGGGATCCAATTTTTATTCGTCAATTTAAAAATAAGTATTGTGAGGACGTGTTTGTAGAACATGTTGTAACAACAAAGAGAAGAAAGCATTGGAAGAGAAAAGATGCACCTGTAGATTATCCATTTAAAATTGTCAATTGATTATTATTATAAAAAAATTTTATATATAAAGATTGTGTGATTATATAAAATAGTAAGCCATTTTTTCTGTCTTGTGAAAATTTTTTTAATTAATAAAATATAATACTAAAATCTTCAGTCAATTTATATTTACATGTTTTTATTTATACATTTATGTTTACATTTATTTATCATACAAAAGATCTTCTTTCTTATTGAAGAATTTAAATCTAAATAAAGATTTTGTAAACTTGATAAGTTGATCATTTATTTATATTATAAGGTAAACAATTGATTAAGAGGACTAGCTTATCAAGTTTACCTATGTATCAAAAAGAAAATATTTAGAAATCAAATTATATATATATGCGTAAATGTATGTATTATTTTCAAGTTCATGTCACATTGCTAATTTTAATGCCTGCTTTAACTTTTAGTCTCCCATTAACCACTAATTAAAATTGGATGATTACTACTGCTGTTGATAGTTTTGATGTATATTGATCCCTGAAATTTTTGGTAATACCAATGTTCACTTTGTCTGGTTTTGTTAATACTAAAATTACTAATAGAATTATTATTTATTTATGTGAGTCTCGGTATAACGGATATTTAACTAATACAAATTTAGAAACCATCTGCAACAAAATTGAATTTGATTGGATATTTTTGCAGATAGTTTCTAAATTTGTACTAGTTAAATATCCATTATACCGAAACTCACTGTGTGTGTATACTACTAATGCCACCACTACTACTATTCTTAGATTTAGGCCTTGGTAAAGAATATCAAATAAATCACAATTACATGACCAATCCAATCCAATAAACAGAACAACTCAAATGGAATCATTGAATAATGTTAAAGCACTAGTTTTCCCAATCCAAACACACCAAAAGATGTAATTTTTTCAACATTTTGTGTTTATACTACTCATCATTTCTCACCTAATGAGAAACATGTAAAGTAACCAATGTATGCAAGTAATAAAAGTGCTCCTATGTTAGCTAAATTTTTTAAAATATAAATTTTGGTCTACAGATTTGTGTCGATGTTAAAATGTCCATTCAACAATGTTGCAAATTCAAAGCTCCACCAATATTAAAAAATGTGGAATTTTTATTTTTACTTTGTCAATATCATTCTATTCTGGTAATACCGTTGTCATCACATCCATTGAACGAAATACCTGACGATGCACAAGATTCTTCGGTCAAAATTAATATTCCAAAGTACTATTATTATATAATTATGATTAATAATATTTGTTCATGCACGCACATACTGTATATAATAATAATTAGTTACCTAGTGAATGCACGTTTATCGGTTGCCCGCATGATCTAAAGAATGGCATATTTAGATATTCACTAGTCAATAAACACAGAGTTGGAAAGAACCCAGCACCAATTTGTCTTTACCAACAAATAAAAGCACCCGATGTAAACCATTTCAAGGCATGTTTATAAGATCCTGGGGGGATTTTATTTGCATCGGGGAATAGAGACATTGTGATGATAGAGATGAAAAGAAAATTGTGTACCAATCAAAAACGCACAAAAGAAATATGCATATGCAATCGTTTCGATTAATGATAGAAGTGTTGCTATTTAATGCTGACTTATGGTTGATTTTTTTTGATGTGATGATTTTTGGTGGTGGGCTGGATTTTAATAATTATTCCGTCCATAAAATAAATCCATTGCAAATCCAATCGTAGAGCACATTAAATCGCCAATTCGATTAAAATAATTACCACACAATAAGTATGTAAAATTATCCTAAATAACAAAATAACCAAGTTAGAGCTGTGAACAAAAAAGAGTATTTAATATTAGAGCAGTAGGATAGTAACAAGCCGGTGATAGGTTACGAAGAAAAGGTGCACATTTGTTTTTCAAAGGATGTAAGAGTAAGAAACGATAGAAAAGAGCGATAGTATAGGAGAACGAAAAGGTGACTATTAAACAAAGAGTTGGTTCCGGTTTTCCAGTTATAACGCTGTGCTCACTTATCATATTTTTTTTAAGAAAATAAATACAACATAAAAATTATCATCATCGACTTTTGGTAGGCTTTACTATAATAATAACAACTCCTTCGGAATGCGAACTTTCTTCTTCATTTGATTTATTTTTAAGTATGTTTGTGTTGTCATAAAAATTTATCATATCAATACAGTCAAATCTCGTTATTATTATCAATATAATGAACCTCGTTATCATCTACTACGCCATTTTTAAGCGATTTTGTCACGAGAAACTCCGGTAAATAGTGAAAATATTCGGTAAATCGCGGTTAGATGGTCAAAAATTTCAAATTATAAAGTTGCAAACTTTAAACCCTAGGGACCTTTTTTTTGTATGGTATTGTAGAATTACTAGTTGCATTTAATATTAATTAGGTTGCTATAACGAGATTTGACACCTAATGCGGACAAATTTTTCTATCTCATGCGGGTTATATATATGATCATTTTATTAATATAAATATCAAATGTGACCCAGAAATTCTCTATATTAATATTAATATGTTTTAAGGTCAATTGTGATTAGAGGTTGTTACTCACTGAATATTCATTTGTTTTATATTTCATTCAACCAATTAAATTTAATATTCGGATCATCATTTTGGTGAATAATTAAAATATTCATTCAATCAGAGTATTAAACATTCAGTACTGTACTCTTTTGCATTCCTGTACTGTATGGCCTACAAAAATAGAAATTTTTTTAAAAAAGTCATACACCACCAACATACAGTACACAGCACTCCACCAATCAAATGGATTCTGTACTCATAACATTTAATACAGAAATGCTGATTTGCAGATCATACAGTACAAGAATGCAAAAGTGTACAGTACTGAATGTCTACCGACTGATCCAATCATTTTTTTTTTCAAATAAAAACAATCTTTTCAAATAAAAGTGGACCAAATTATGTTCTTCTTGAGGTCATCATATAAGTGTGTAATATAATTAGATGTAGATTCACCACAACATTACAAGGAACAATAATATCAAAAACTTCAGAGACATTAATAAACTTTATTTCACTTGTAATTTCTTCAAATCATAAAAGCAAAATCGAAATTCTTTTATTTTGATGAGTTCAACAACTTATAAATCATTTCAAAATCTTCGAGAAACTTGCAACTTTCACACAATTAACTAACTTTAATTCACACTAGAGTGTGCAATACCTTCTATATTATATAAGCATTTATACAATTATATCCATGGATTCGATACATTACTGAATTACTGACTTGATGAGAACAAAGCCATACTAAAGGACTAAATTATCATCCACAAAAAAATCGGCTATGGAATTGCACATGGATGAGAAGATAGAGACACCAGTCCATAGAATATGAGAATAAAAACGCGTAGAAATTGATAATTTTTTGTCAAAATTGTAGAAAATTTTATCGATTGTAAAAAGTAAGCTTAACAAAAATGCAAAATGAACTAATTCTTAATCGTAAAACCTTCAACGAAAACGAAGATGGTAACAGTAAACGCAGTAAAATGGATGTATTGATGATAAACAAATTGGCGATCAAATGCCGATTAAATTAATCCATAAAGCTCCTAAAGATGATGTTGAAAGTGAAGATAGTGAATTAGTGACGATGATCAAATTAATATATATGCTATTGATAAGACCATAATTGGTGGTGACAATTCGTAAGGCAGCATTACCGTAGCAGATAATGAAAGCTAACGAGAAGTTAAAAGAAAAAGTACCGGAACGCATGGAAATAGAACCTATTGATAATGAAGAAGGTTTATCATCATAAAAAATAAGAATAACGCAATATTAATAATAAAGGAGAAGATATTGCAGAAATTATGAATTTAAAATTAAGTTAATACATTCGTTATAATTTACAACGAGCGAATAACTATATATTATGAAGATCCATTGCTCATAAAAAATCCAGAATTTATTTTGTTTATTTGCGTAACGTGAATTATGAACAGTTGTCTTTAAAAAAATTTAAAATTGTTTCTATTTATATTTATGTAATATGTATGTATTTAATAATAAAGGTGTTAGTTGCACCAACGATGTAAACAATTATTTTTTATTTTTAATTTTATTTTTTTTAAAAAATAAAGCATTTCCCATACTTAATAACATCAATAAATACTATATTATATACACTATATATCATATTATATAACATTCTTTTCTTATTACTCAACTATTTATTTGTTAAACTATACTTTTTCAATTCGACAAAATTTTTTTAACGACACATTCATTCATTCAAAAATAACAACTTATAAAACCTTTGTCTTGGAAAAATATTTTTTAAAATCCTCCTTTTTTCCTCATTTTAACGAAACACCCACTTTCACACACACACACACACACACACACACACATAATATTTAATATTTTAATATTTTTGTTATTAAGCTTCCAAAAATAATTGAAAATTTTTTTTGGTTGATTTATATATAGTATTTTAATATGGGCTCAATACTTTCACATTTAAGTAAGGGAAATGGAGTTGCATCAATGCCTGACTTAAACCTTGATCTTGAAAGTAAGCAAGCATTCATTCGATTAATCTGATTTTATTTATTTCTCTAAATATATGTAAATAAACAATTATGCGATATAAAATTTATGTAGATGCTATACCAACAGAAACAGAATTAGCATTATATCAACATGTTTCGGCACTTTTGCAACCTACAGATGTATTATTAGATTCATTAAGGCTATATGAAGGGTGTGGAGATTTGATTAAAAAAGCAATATCAAATCCTACGCCTGATAATGAAGAAGAAGCATGGCAAGCTATACAACCTGCTGTTGCTAAATTAAAGAAATATTTTGAATATTCTACTTTACTTGGTATTAGAAAAATAATTGTTTATTATTATCAAGAAGATTAGAATGATTAATTAATGATACGATTTTAATTATTATTATTATTATTATTGTTGTTGTTGTAGGAGATGCACTTCCAGAATTATTAAGCGCTTTATGTGATGGAAATGCTTTAAATAATATTGAACAACAACAAGCACTTACCAAGTTATTAGCAAATATACTAGATTTTGCTTTTGAATTCGATTCCTTGAAGGTTTTTATCTTTTAAATTTCATATTAATGAATGAGTTGTGCGTGAAAATAAAATTGCAATTCACACTTGAGAAAATTAAATTAGCCAATCAAAAGGATTTCGCACCCAAACACCCCTCCCCTCCATATTTAATTATAGATTTCAATTTCACATATAACAAATATAATGATTGTTGATTAACATTAATTATATTAATTATTTGCTTACAATTTTTTGTAGGTGAGAACACCATCAATTCAAAATGATTTCTCTTATTATAGAAGAACACTTAGTAGAGGAAAACTTGTAAATGAAGTTAGTTTAATTTATTACCATAACCTAAATTATATGTTACGAAGGCCACCTTAAATAATATATTTTATTGTCATTATTGTATTCTAGGTAGATCTAAAGACAGCTATGATTGAGGATGAATTGGCCAATAGAATTTCATTGTTTTATGCATATCCAACACCAATGTTAAAAACAGTTACTGACGTAACTGAACTTTTTGTAGCCAAGGTAAATAAACAATCGATCTCAAACAATTATTCTATAAATTGTAATGCTTATTAAAAAACTAAATATAAATTTTTTGATCAATTAATAGAACAATCTTGGTAGAAGTGTGTTAGAATGTTTGTCAGGATTAGCTGCTGCTTGTTATCATTCAGTTACCAGAAGGTATTTTTTCGAGGGAAGGTGTGGTGAAAAAATTAAATCATCTTAATAATTATTTTTATATTTACGTGACATTTATATAGAACTCAAAAACCAGAAACAACAGCATTTTGTTTAAGAGTAATGGTTGTTTCCATTATTTTATATGATCACATTGATCCACAAGGTGCTTTCAATAGACAATCACTAATAAATGTAAGTAATTTAATTGTAGGTTATATGTGATAAAGAAAATTTCACAACACAAATTTAATAATATTATTTAATAATAATAATAATAATAATAATAATAATAATCATAATAATCACGATAGATAAAATCATCAGTAAAAGCGATTCAAACTCATGGTACAAGTGAATGTACTAATCTAATATCTGCATTGCGTTTCAACACCAAACATTTAAACGATCAATCAACTCCAAAAAATATAAAACAACTTTTGAGCGGTTATTAATTATTAGATTTGTATAAGATTTTGATTTAGATTGTTTTATTTATTTTTGTTTGCTTTGTTTTTTTCCTTTTGATTGATGTTGGATTGAACCTGCATTAAATTATAACATTTTATAATTTTAGTAGATAAATAGTTTATTTAAATTATTGTATTTTTTTTAAAAAAAATTATCGGGGTCTAACCCAAATAAGGTGATGAACTCGGATTATTTTATTGGTTAATTTCATCAATTCAATTTTAGATCAAATAAATTTTAAATCAAAAAATCTTTTACAGTATAATATATATATATATTAGCATTAATGATATTTTCATTATTATTGTCGTCAAGTGTTCGTAATATCACTATTCTTAATATTGGTAAATCTTTTAGACTTTCTAAAAACTTTGTAAAAATAATAAAAAAAACTTCGATTGATGTTAAACTATATAAAACGACATTTGATTCGAATGGTTCCTCTTCTTTATCATCATCATCATCATCATCATCATCCGTTATAGATTCACATTTATCTAATATACAGTTATCAAAATCAGTCATTCCCTACAATAATAATAATAATAATAATAATGATAATAACAATAATAATCTTCGATTAGAAAGCTTTTCAAGTTCACCACCGTCTTCACTAAACGATAATAATAATAATATCAAAATCAAAAAAACTTGCAATAATTTATCACAGAATACAAGTAAATCTTCAGATCAAGAACCAAAAGGTGCTGATGAATATACCTTGAATGTTGGTAAAGGTGCAAAATTTCATGCAATTACATTTGATTTTTTATTTAAATTTGCTTTTACTTGATATTCATTCACTTTATGTTCTAAATTATAATTTTTATGTTTATGTTTTTATTTTTTCTCGTTCTCTTAGCAATTAGAATAATAAGATCCGAATTACCATTATTCTTTGAACATGGTTTAATGGACACATCAATCTATTCACCGGACATTTTATTATATGATCCTCACAATACTCGTCTTTTGGTAAGAGGAAAGAAGATATATTTGGCCATAGCCAAGTTATTAAGATGGAGTTTAGTGTGGTATTTTGATGATATAGTATTAGATATTGTGAAAATGCATGTTGTGCAAAGCGGTGATGATGATAAAGATAATTCAGGAGGAAATGCTGATATTGATGCTTACAGCAAACAAGTTAATTTAGATGATGATTATTATTATTTAAATAATAATGACTTGGATAGTTTATTAAGTGTATTCAATGATCATGACAAACACTATTATCAACAAGAACAAGAAACATTATTCTCAAGTGATAATAATGACTCAAAGAATTCATTAGAAAGAAAGACACGATTATATATTCGTTGGACATTGGAAGGTATACCCAGGCCATCATACATAACGTCACTACTGTTTTCACAAAGTGTACAAATTCCTCGATCAACCTTCTCTGGCATTTTTATGTATAAATTTGATGACAGGAATGGATTGATAAGTGAGCATCATGTGAAATACATAGTACCTTCTCCTAGTCGTAGAGCTGTATTGTATCATGGATTTGGTGGTTTGGGTGGTTTGATATGGAGGATTAGAAGTGGAATGAGACAAAATAAAAATGAATGGGGGATTGGATTAGGAATGTTTGCTACTAAATTAAAAAAAGTTGAAAACAACTACAACAACAACTACAAACAACAACTATAACAACTACAACAACGATCATCATAATAATAATAATGGCGTTAATCACTATAAGTTGGATGTTTCAAAATTGAAATTATTTAAAAATAAACAAATTAGAGATGATTCTTGTAGTTTTATGAGTTCATAGCAATTGTAATTATTTTAATGATATTGATATTGAATCAAAATATTATCATTTATTTACAAAATAAAAATCAAAAATGATTACCTGGATTCCTGCAGCACTTGGGATAATAGTAACTGTAACAATCATAACACACTTGATCCTAAAATAACAACCACCAAGATTCCCTCTTCAAGATGTATTCAGTATCTTTTTATTATTATTACATAATGTGATACCTTGTTTGCTTGATCTTTTAATTTATCAGTACTTTTTGTGATAATGTTAGAAAGATCATTAATTATTTATTTATAAAATTTGTTTTTTATTTACTTGGCACAACACCATTTCCTGAAAACATATACATATATATATTTATATATATTTAAATCTTAATTGGGGTATAAACAGTGTATCATCAGTTTCTTCAAAATTAAAAGACATCAAGAATCAATCGACCATACCCATAGTACAATCCACGACAATAAACCACAAGTACCGCCACCATTACCTGAATTGGAATGTCAACAACAACATTTGAGGAATATTTCATATTTAATAGTACATTCGAATGAAATTCAACAAGGAATTCAACGATTACAACAACAACAAGAAGAAAAAGAAGAACAAGAAGATCAACAACAACAATAATCGGCACAATAAAATGTTTCAAATGAAACGAATGAAATTAAGATTGACATATGTTACGAATAATTCAATAATAATAATAATGGTAAAAGAATTATTACCACATAGATTTGTTCGAACCGAACAGAGCATTTTATTTCTTTTATAGTAATTAAGTGATAATGAATAAAAAAATACAAAGGTGTGTCACACATCACCATCACTGTTGTTACAAAACTTATAAATAACACACATTTAAAAAAATTTTTTTTTTCTACAAAAAAATTTTTTATTATTATTATCACACAATTGTCAGCTGAAATTCTTTTGTATATAATAATAATGATGATAATAATAATAACATGTCATTATTTATAATGTTTATCAACATAATTAATTGCGTGAATTATAAATTATATAATATAAAAATGGATGATTTTGGGAGGGAGAAATTTCATCGATTTTCACATTAACATATATATCGTGCGCCGCAATAACAATAAAATAAACTTTATTAGTAAACAACAATAAATAACAATAATAAATAAAGATATCAAAAGTTTGAAATATAAATACACCTAAAATTATTTGTTTGTTTTATTTATTTATAATTTTTCAAAAATTTAGATTTTCCTTTTTGATTTATTATTATTATTAAAAATAAAAAAAAATATGGCAAAGACAAGTATTCTTTCTGTTTTTCGGGTACTTTTAACAGTTTGGTTAGTTTATCAAACTGTTAAAGCAATCACTTTTTTACATCTTTTGAGTAGAAAACATAGTTATTATGATCCAAAAGGTAATGTATAATATATAAATACATATTATCAAACTTTTTTACGCGATTTCCACCCTCTTTAATTTCTCTTAAAAATTAATAAAATATAACTTAGTCGCGTTTGTTATTGGTGTCCAAACTGTTGCACCTCCAATAATTGTAATAAATGTTGTTACTTGGATAGTTTTTTGGTTTGATAAACAACAATCAAAACTTCGTAATTGGAGAACTCCTGAACGCGAATTATTATGGTGGTTATGGACTACAGGTACATAAAAATTGAAAATATAAAAAGCTTTAATTGGTTGGTTGATTTTATTAATTAGTTTCTTTTTGTCACTAATTATATTATTAAAGGTGTTTTTGGTGGTTGGCTCAGTATGTTTGGTATATATAATTAATAATTAATAAAAATCTTTGATTAATTACTTTGGTTAATATTTATTAATTGTATTATTAATATTTTAGTCTGTCGTCACAAGATTCGAAAAGAAAGTTTCATATTGAAGGCGTTATTATCCACAATTTTTAATCTTACTTGGTTTCTATTTTATTTTATTTTGGATGTGCCAAAAAAAGCTTCTCTACATAAATAATAATAATAGTAATTTCACTATTCAACAATATATGCAAGCAATCAACTATTTTAGAATTTCCCCAATTTTTATGTAAACTATTTATTATTTTATTTTGTATATATAACCTTTTATCATTATCATTGTAATATTTATTATTGTACGATAGATAGATAATATACATACATGTAAATCATTATTTATTTTTGAACAATTAAACAATAACCTTATTGTAAACTGTCAACAAACAAAAAAAACAATGCATTTAAATTGTTTTTTTACCCCTTTTAACAAAACAACAAAACCAAAATTTTAACAATTATCTTTTATTCCCTTATTTATTTATTTATTGTTCATTGCATAATTATTCAATAATTTTTGTACGGCGATCAGTTAAATAATAGAGATATAAAATATTAATATACCACAAGAATAAATGAAATATTATATTAGCAAAAAAATTGACAAAGAATAATAAAAATATTCCTGTTCTTTCTCAGGTTTCCTTGTTTAAAAATAAACCATGATGTTTATGATGTTAATATGCTTAATGAAGTGAGGATACAGGAAGTTTTCCTTTCATTTATGTTTAAAAAGAAAATTTAATATATTTTCCGTAGGTGGTGGAACATGTATAACAGATAAAAGGCATCTAGTTTCTCTAATAAATAAATAAATGGTGAAGTTAATTAGTTATCCATCCTGATTCTACAAAATAAATTGAAACTTCTAGTGACAATTTCTGAAGTCCAGTGATTGGTCATGGGAACAGCACGTTTTAATTTTTTTATTTTGGGCAGAGCAACATGCTAATGCAAATGCTACAACTCAACTTGATATAGCCCAAGAAGGATTCATTGTTAACTCCCAAACTGCTAGAAAAAGAAATTTACTTGAAGATCAATAACAAAAACAATACAAAGCAGAGGAAATAATTCAGATAGAAAAATTTGAGATGCCTAAATTTGTGACATCATTAATTTATTCCTCAAGCAATTCTTACACTTTTGATAATTCGTATTAAAGATTAACACATCTTTAATTTCCTGACGCTGTCATGGCTATGATGCTCCTTAATGTGGGCAAATTATAGATTACATTAGAACCCACTCATAAGAGCCTATCACCCCAAGTCAAAATAATTAGCATACACATTTTCCACATTTCGATTGTTTGTCAGAAATAGTAATTCTTGAAGAGATACTCTATTAAAACACAAAAAAATTTTACAAAGTTGTAAAAATACACGTGACTTTTTTTCTACCCTAATTTAATCGATCAAGTTTTAGATAAACCACTTCAGCCAATTACGAGGAAGTTTATCTGATTTTCATCAGGTTTCCTGGGTCATCCTATGATAATATGCCGAGATACGTTCGTCCGGAGATAATAACTCTCCCTATCAATCTCAGTGATGCGGAAATCCTTATTCTTGAGAACGTCTAGTTCCCTGTTGTCATCAAGGGGGATTTTAACCTGAGACTGCTAGGGACGACATCTCTAAAAACTTCCGTTTCTTCGGGGCTGAATTCGAGTGATATATTAAATAACTCGTCTCTATTTTTTTGTATCTGTAATATCAATTTATGGTCTTCATCTTCGAGTTGTTTCAGCCTTTTATATAATTTCCTTTCTATTTCCCGATATCATGTACCATTATTAGCTTTGGGGCAGCTCTTTAGATTCTCCACTGATAAATTTTGGATGATTTCAGCAATCGTATCTGGAATCTGGAATAGGTTGTATGTATGTTATAAAGATTAGCTAATGCTTTTTTGTTTAAATTTACCTGGCCAAAGGTAATGCACTTGAAATTTCGAACCAACATTTGTCTTAATATTAATATTAATTTATTTTCTATGGGCGATCCTGGACGATTTTTCTACAACGTTCATAGATTAATTAGACGTGGATAGTTAAAATATCACCTTTGGTATAATTCGAATGATAAAATAATCAAAAAATAATTTCTAGTAAATGCAAATTTAGAAATTTGTATTAATCACTCAAAATGTCTCACGTCATCATATCGAAAAAAGCCTTGGCTACTACAACTTGGTATTACTATATACACAGATTAATTTTTCTTTCAGATCTTTGAGATTTTCTATGTAAATTATACTTCTTCGTTCCATCATCACCCACTTACTTACATGGCATACACACAAGCTACGCAAAAAAATCTCGTTCTCGTTTGCTGTTTCTTTACAAGAGGATGACTATGCTTTGCTTGAAGCAATCTTGCTCAAAGGATATTCTCAATCCCGTGATCTGTCAGTTAAGTCTCGGAATATTTTTCCGATAGCCCGAAAAGCTTATCTATGAAAGTACAACCGCTATTTGAGTTCTAGGATTTGACTACAAACAAGCCTAGCAATATAAATCATTTTTACTTTCAAATTTACTTCCATCTGGTAAGTCAGAGGAAACTAATAATAAAGATCATGATGATGAAGGCTATGATGACGAAGACCATGACGAAGGCTATGGGCCAAAAACTTTCAAGACTATTCTTTTTTACACTTTAAAACTATGCTCGCAAAATCATTCTTATATTTTAACAGGTCAGTCGTCCTTGTTTTAAAACTTTTACCACGGTAAGCAAAAGACAGCTTTGTATACGCTTTTCGCTTGCTTCAATCATTCGTTCATGGACAATTGGCACCCACATTTTCTAGAGTTACCATTAATGTTGTTTGACGAAGTGTTACCAAAGTCATAGGTAAAATTGCTTTAAAGGATAAAAAACTTATAAATGTATATTCCAAGGTCTTTTTTTATATTTTTTTTTGTGCATCCCAACCCCTCCTTTGTTTCATCATTTGTTCCCGAAGAGCCAAGTTTTTCTTTTTGCTGAATACAAATTCAGTTCCTATATACTCATTTATAACGTGATAGATGATCGGGATAGATAAAACCATCGGTAATTTATGCTCCAGGGTCGACTAATTTTAGTATGAAGAATTATGGAAGTAAATTTCATTAAGAGGAAAATAATTAAAATAAAACTCTGATAGAATCATTATTTTTATTAAATAAAATTAATCGTTAATAAACTTTTAAAAATAAAACTATTTGATAAAATCAACAATTGTAGTTAGTGCCTTGGTAAAAGGGAACAATTGTGGAACTTTGGTAAAAAGCCACGTTTATTTGAGCAAGCAAGGTTAGGACTAACGTTAGTTAACTGGTGAGTATTAACAACGATTAGTAAAGTATCGTCAAAAGATTAATTGGGAATACTGGTAATGTTATTGTAATCGTAAATGTAAGAAGCTACTTAAGTTGTTTCGCAAGTAAACCAAAGTGAGTTTGCAATGTAAACGACGGAAATAAATCAATCACAAGTGAATTGCAAAAGGGCCATATTTATTTATTTACAGTTATTTGGCACCACTAAATGTGCTCGCAGATTCGTATAGATGCAGTAGTCGAGAACTAATTGACAAGAGTAGCCCAAAAGTTAAGCCATAATTAACCCGAAATGATGCTATCATTTAATGAGAATCAAAAAATTGTAAGAAAGTTTATTATTTCAAAACATTATTATAATTTAGCTTTAAGAAACAAAATAAGAATAAAATAAAAAGATAAATAATTATAATGAATAAATTTATAGTGAAGATTAAATTAGTCATTCATCAATCCTTTCTTTTACTATTGTTAATTAATACATTGTTAGTGATAATTAATGGATAGTAACTTTTAATTAATTAATAATGAAAATTTTATTCACCTTTGTTAACACTACTATACGCACTATACGTACAGTATCGTATAGTGTTCAATTATACGCACATTTGCCCATCTCTATACCTGGTCCATATTTACCATTTACTTTTATCGATTTACGAATAAGTTCATAATTGTAAAAGTTTTCTTTACTTCTCCTCCTCGTTGTTAAATTTCTGTTCCAGTTTGGAGATTTGATTGGTAAATCTATTATATCGAGAGGATTTACTATACATTAAATCGAGACCTACCTACCTCTGTCGCTCAAATCTAGTGATATCAGCCGTTAAAAAAACCTTGCACTTATTATTTTATTTTTCATTTCAAAAAAGGAAGGATATTATGAATACTATTTTTATTTGTAAATACATTTCCATCTGATGAAAACAACCTCTCGGCTGAGCTTTCCGGCCGGTATTGCTAATACTAAGTAAATTCTTGTTTTCACACCAAGATTTGGTAAACTACCTTTTTTTGATTCCACCAAACAAATGGATCTTCTTTCAATAAAACTTTTGTAATGTTAAATATATTTCTGATTTTATTTTACTGTATGTTTGTAGTACCTAATATTAAGCAATCGAAAAAAGTCGGCTAATAAAATTGTCAATTGTTTGATATCTAAAAGACTTATTTACCTTTTGTTTGATTATCATCAAAAAACAATGACAGAAAAAAACCTTTTACAAAAAAGAAATCAGCTGGCTGACATCACCATTTGATACAACTTTGCATCGTAACCATACTATATAAGGAAAGAACAGCATTTTTTTTTACATGAGCTAGTGTGGAAATTTTTTTAAAGTGAATCTGACCATTTTGGAATAAATAGAACTGGAAAAGGCCCATCTAATAATCATTTAATAAAATTTTTTAGATTATTTTTCTTTTGTCCCGTTATGCTGTTTAGAACTATCTCAAAATGTGTAAGCGCTATATAAATGCAGCTTCTAGCATTGCTTCGCTGTACTTTTTTTCAAATGCTTGGAGCATCTCTTTTCTGATTCCTCTTTATTATTTCGAATTACATTGATAGTATACCAAATAGAACCTGAGCTTTCTATTGGTATGCTTTTATGTTTTGCAATTGCATCCTGGTAGCTGTGGAATAGTTTGATTTAAATCTACAATTTTAAAATGACACGCAATGCAAAAAAAGATTCTATAACAAATTCCAAATTACACCACGGCCATAAATTTCTTATCATTTAAGTCAGTTGCATTTTATAAGAAATAAATATAAATGAAAACAAATCAATCCATATGATATGTTGAATAAAATAACATAGGATCAATTAGACTAACGTTGATAGTAAATCAAGTTAGTTTTAACAAACCGCACAAGAAAATGCACCTTGGTTTATTTTATTTAAAAAAAAATATTATAACGAGAATTATTTAAAAGTGTTGACATTTTCAAATGGTTCGAACATCAAATAACCGTTATCGCTGAGACTGAGCATGATTGCTAAAATGTAATAGTAATAGTAAATAAAAATTTCAGAAATTTAAATTAATACGTCCCATACATAATAAATATTATATATTGCAGAGGTTTATTACTCTCATCAACACCAACCTCGTTTTTCCAGTCTCCAATTCATCAAGGAAATCCGAATTTATAACGTACTCTCTTAGAATTGTTTCCAAAGAATGAAATCTTGTGGTAAGAGAGGCAAGGTCTTTTTTAATTTCTGAAATACTTGGATCTTCAATTTCTGAAATATTTGGATCTTTAGACCTTTCATAATGTAAATGATTTTTCTCGGTCAAAGGAATCACTGGTAAATTTTTCAAAAGCTTTCTTTTTGATCTTGGTTTATACATGCAACAACATTTTTGAAAGATTCCCCGTGGGTCCAGGAGTGATCTTCCTGTTTATTAATTGTTATTTGTTGTTGTATAGTTATGATTATTTTATTTTAATAAACTTACCAAATAAAATAGCATAAATTCCTAACAGTATGCTAATTGCACCTCCAAGTGGACCAACATTGCTTAAGACCTGAGAAAACAAAACTGTATTTAAATATCAAATATATTTTAAGTTTGAACTTAAAAAACAACAAATATTACATAGCACTTACAGTTTCAAATCTAGCAATGATAAAAGAATCATTAGAAAAGTTCATATTAGTATAAAATAAAATATTCAAAAATTTATGCAATTACCTTTTTTCTGTTTCAACAGTTTCAAAATATCTATTTGTATAACCATATGGTACAATGGATACTGCGGTCCGATTGTATTCTACTATAGGTGCTTTGAAATTAGAAAGGGTTAAATCACTATATATTGCAAAACTTTAAATAAATCATATAATCGAAATTCAAATTTGTAGTTACCTGAAGCTATTGGTTCTGGAATACGAAGTGAAATATGATGATTAGGAAAACCTAAATAATTTGTCCAATCACGAATCAAGTAATTTTTTCTAGTCCATTTAATATAAACAACATTCATCTAATTTTGATTACAAGTTGATCATATTAATGACTTTAATTACAAAATATCAAAATGTTAACTGTTGGCATATTTAAATGGATACCTTGTTTTCTTGAATATATACAAAGTTATATTGGAGATAATCTATGTAATTTTGGAGGTTAGTTTGACCCGGATAATTATTTTTGATATCAACTAATTCTATTTTGTTTGACAGAATATATAATAACAATTAATCATTAAATTAAAGTATGTGATCTTAAAAGCTTTATAGTTACCTTCACAAAATCCAATAATATTTAAGCCATTTCCAGGAATATTATTCCAAGAAAGGTGCAACAGGCCACTAGAATTAATCATATTTTCAGTAGGAGTAAATTTATAACTTCTATCGTTGAACAATTCAAGATTGGCAGAACAATCAGCTAAGAAAGCTAAGAAACAGTTCATTAATGATATGCCAAATTCAATCAAGCTTTTAAAAAACTATTTTTAGAGGCATACACACTAAGACTAAGTGTATCATCATCTTTTGTATAAAATTTGCAATCGATTGTTGCATGTGATGGCAGAGTGATATTAAGCGCTTTTAAATTAATAAGAAAATAAATAATTTTGCTAAAAAAAAATTCCAAATAATTTACATTTCAATTAGATAATAATCATTCACTAACATATAGTACCTGGAAAAGGTTGTGAGTCTAACTTAACAGTAGAATATTGAATCGAAGGCTCATCTTTTATAATCAAATCAATTAAAACATATATATACAAAATTAATCCACTTAAAAGGACTATTGAGACAACAACTTTAGTCCACCACAATAACGTTGGTTCAGTCTTTCTGTGTCTTGGTAGTGTAAAATTGGAGATTTTTTTAAGATTATTCATTATTTTTTTACTAATGATAGCAATAGTTTCACAACACTGTAACAAAAACACCTTTTATGATGTAAAAATTATCAATATGGATTCATTAAAATGCAAAGAGTCTATACAGATTCCGTATTCCGTAGCATCTGCACCTCTGTAGTAAATCATGCTCTGTATGGAACAAAATATGGAATCGAAGATCGTACAGACTGGCCCCACCAATCAACTTTTTAGAATTCACAAATTCCGTACAAAAATTAAAAAATAAAAAGTGTACGTACGGAACAAAAAAGAATAGTGTACGGACGGAATTGAAAGTTGTACGGAATCTCTACTGACTGATGCAAAGGTCACCCTTTTCTTTATAAGCTTTCTGCTTATCAGAACTCGTTAAGACGATGTTTTGATAAAAGAATGTACACGATAAACCGATGTTTTTTTATTATCTACCTATGAAATTCATCTCTATAATAATAAGTCAATTTTATTAAGGTTTCTAAACTAAAGATTTTTTTTTGTGAAAACATCGACTCCAGTTTAAATTGCATAACAACAACAATTGGTCAGCTTCAAATACTAAAAGAAGCTTTTTTATATCATTTAAAAAAGTTAACCTATAAATTTATTGTTCATCGGCTAGTTTTTTTCTAAAAATTGGCTGGGCCTTGGCATTTTGAAAATTATATACATACGTGAATCTGCCACTGCATGAGACATCACTAGTCATTTTTATGATGTAAAAAATTAAATCCAATAAGTATAAATATATGTACACATCTGATTGAGTCTTCTAATTTGTTGTTGATTAAAGTAATAATTTTTAAATAGTGATGCCATCTAGATGTTTTATTCCTGTGTTAATTCCTCTACTGGGAAGTCATAATTACGTTTGTTGTTTTTATTATTTTTTTAATGATAATGATAATAAATTAATAAATTTTTTATTTTATTAATTACAATTTTGTAATCCACCGGGATCGGGCAAATTAATAATATGTACCAGCCATTATTATTTTCGTTACAGACTGCAAGCATTGTATATACGAGTATAACAGAATTTCTTTGTGATTGGCCAATATAAAATTTTGATTTTTATCAATCGAAGACAATTAATTGGTGGTCCGCCGATCAATGATAGAAATTTGTTATGCAGATCCGGGATATCATCAGTTTCATTACTAATATTATCATTTTCATCAGCAAATACTGTATCATCCAATATCATAATATCATTAACCACTAGTAAGTCTTCTTCATAATTATATTCCAACTCATCTTCATTTTCTTCTAGATCTTCTAGATCTTCCACATCTGAATCATTGTCACTTGAATTAATAACCAATTGTTTAAGTTCATTATCTGAAAGTGAATGATCAAAATTTTGAACTTCTTTTTTTGTATTTGAAAGATAATAACTGAGAATTTTGGATATATCTTCAAGTTTTTCTAAGTTCAAATTTTGTCATTTATTGCCATATATCCAATTTAACTTAGAAAAAATTCACACTGTGAGGGATCACTGAAAAAAGTTTAATTGCCAAATCTTGAAGGTGACTGTGAACATCTTCACATGTCATCCACATTTTCATTTACATCACGAGACATTGAGGATGTATCTAATAAAGCTTTATACAGAAACTGAACTAAAAATCATCAGTGACCCTGAAAAGTATTGAATATGCTTTCCATTGATTCATCATTTAGTGGTAAAAAAGTGCTGAATATAATTACTCATCTCACTATTTTCATAAAACCCATAGTGTGCAAAAACAAAATCCTCAAATGATGGACCATTTGGTTTAGCAATAGTAGAGGAAGCAGAATTCTTAATGTCTTCAAAGCTCATTCCCATCCCTGATAGTATAAAAGACAACTTCATTGTGGTGAGTTTGAGTACCATCCAAAGCAAGATAACAAAGAATGGTTGTGACAGATTGTTAAACATTTTCTTGTACTTCTTGATGGCCAATTGTGATTCATCAATTGCAATTGGTAATTGTTCTTGTCCAGGGACAAAACTTTTAAATTTTGTGAAAAATGTAGCAACAAGTATATTATGATAATCTGGATCTAAATTGCGAAAATCATATGCAATTTAACTCCAAAAGTCATCTTTTTCATCAATTTGCAATGGTAAGAGTTGCATTAGAAGCCATTGGGCATCCTCAGAAATTAAAAATTTGATTTGATTAACTAATTTGTCCTCATAAATTTGTCAATCAAAATTTATTTAATCTTAGGATTTATTTTACTATTAAAAATAAATCTTACCCTCCGAGTAAGGTTTACCAATCAAAATTTTAAATTTTTGTGGGAAAAAAAAAACAAAAAAATTAAAAAAAAAATAATGCATTTTTTTGCAAAGTTGGCATTATCTTTTTGATAATATGAGTTCAATAATTACTAGAAGTACTTTTCAGTATTTGTGTGAAGAATTTATTCCAGTTTGCAAAGAAAAACAATAATAATAGTGAGAATAATATTATTAGATATGTTTTTTTTCAAAAACTAAAAAAAAAAAATGGATATTAATAGCATTTTGGAAACAAATACACTGGTATATCAATGATTGCATTTATTATGTTTTTTTTTTGTTTTTTAGCTTCACGGGATGCATTAATACTATCTTTACATATATGGTCTGAAATTCTAAATTCTTCCAGTTCGATTTTTTTGACCAGTTTGTCTTCAATCTTGTCCAATGAGACTCTGCCTTCCTCAATACTTCCTCTTTGCTTTCAAATACTTTCAATATTCCTTCCTCTGCACCTGCAACAATATTGGAAATGTATAGATGGATGTATAAATAAAATGAATAGGTGTTAATTAAAGTTGTATACAGTACACCAAATGCACTCTCAAATGAATAAATAAATGAAAATAATTTTTTTTATATTGGTGATTCGCCTATGAATCAGTGAATGATTAAGGTTTCTGGTCGAAACTGCTTCTATTAGTAGCCGAAATTGCCCAAATACTTTGGGCAAAAATTATTTTTT